CAATAACCAGTATACATTCGGCATATCAGCAACCAATTAACCATATTGAATATAATATGACCCTGTATTGATTTTAGACACTTTGACTAGTGATGTGTACTATAATATGACAATGCTAAATAATATATACTGTATGATTTTTTCTTTATCGAATTCGATACACAATTATTGTCGTGTAGCATTATATGGATTAAAAACAATGTGAACCTTTTTTTAGGGTGGGTCAATAAAAATGGGTCAAGCGATGTTTTTTCGTAACCGATAATGTTCAAAAAAAAAGAGATCCGGAAATAGTTCACGCTATACATTCTCCGTGAACGATCGTTCACCGTGTGATAATATTTCGATAATCTTGCTATTTATGGCATTCGTTTAAACCAAATTGAAGAATTAAATACGGAAAAAATTTGTTGAATATTATTTTTCCGGGTTTTCTTTGTGATCACTGTAGTATTAGGCATTATTGCAATCTTCATGTAAACACGACTAACCAAAGTTATGCCATCAGATTTTAATATGAATGCTATGATTTTAGTGTTAACATTATAAGAAATTAGAACTTTTTTGTTTAAAACGATTAACAATATGAAGGCATTATTTAACTGTGATAATAAATGACGATGATACTGAGATGGATGATGCAGAAATTTGGTATCTGATTTGAAAATATAAACCCTACTAAAATCCACATATACCCTTATATCTTTTATTATGAACTCTAACCCTAACTCCTAAATAAGTTCAAATTTTGGCTTCATCAAATAATAATGCGTTAAATAAATAAATTACATTTTGCACACGATATATATTAGATTCAATCAATCAGATTTCATTAAGGGTACTATCCAAAAATGTTCCGATATTAATCTATTTTCTGAATTAGAGTCGAGCAATTCTTGGCATTTTTGTTTAAAATAAAAAAACGGCATTACTAAACCACTCCAGTGTTCAACACCATAGTTGCTATATCTCAAAAAATGCACTAGCTTAACACACGTCAGGGAAAAATTTAGAACTATAACTTTACTATAGTTTTGGTTCTCTAACCCTAACTTTATTAGCAAAATTATTAAAACATATTATGTGGGAAAAAAAAATTGAGCTTTTGAAAAATTTAGGTCGGCGGATAATGCAAGGCGAAAAATTAATTTTCTGTGGCCTTATCTATTATTGTCAATTAGATTTCCACACGTTAATTCTGAAATCCCTTATTGAATCTATTATGCCGAAATCCCTTTTTTGTAGTCTTTTTTTTCACGGTTAGGGTTTAGGGTTAGCATTATTAATAAAAGAATATATTTAGATTTTAGTAGATATTATAGATTTAAATAGGACTCCAGATCTCAGCATAAGCATTATAATCGTTATCCATGTAACAACAACACGCCGATGTGTTCGCACAAATTATTATAATTATTTAGATTATTTTGGAATGTTTTTAATTTAATCTAAAGATTCTTAGTATATAAAAATCAAGAATAGTCACTTTTTTGATGCACAAATAAAAATTTCTATATTGGTACAAAAGATGTATGTACGTACGTACACACATCAACCTCAGGACATCACACTAGTGACAATTTATTATTAATACAGTATATATCTGCCACTAATAAAATGCTAACATTTATAAAATAATTAATATAAAAGAAAAAAGAAAAAAAACCCTCAAAAAACAGGTCTCCGTCAAACAGAATAACTACATTAGTTGTTTATTTGATAATTATTATAATAATGAAAAATATTTATTTTTTGTTAAATTTATTATTAGTTTTTACATTAAACAAATATTCATTGATCCATGCTAGAGAAGCATTAGCAGATTTATGGGAAGTAGAAGATGGTGAATTACTTAATTTGTTGGCTATTGAAGAGAAATTGATCGTAGCGGATAAAACCTTACAAGCATTACTAGGAAATTATGATACAAGTTTTGGAGGAACATATATAGATGTAAAAACCAGATCAATATATGTCAATACAGTGAACAGGTCAGCAGTTCCTAAAATAATAAATTCGGCAGAGTTAAAACATACTGGTTACTTAAAGTTTATAGAATTTATACGAGCAGAAAATTCCATGGCTGATTTAACATACCGCTTTGATATAATAAGTAATTTAACTTTACAACATGAACCATATCATGTTACTAGCTATATTGATATGAAGCTTAATAATGTAGTAATACTTCATCCGGAAAAGTTGGAACAAATATCGCCAAATTACGAATTTTTAAAAGCCGCTAAAAAATATAAGCCAAAGTTTGTTGGACTGTATCAAGGTAATGTTTCCCCACACCCTAGATGTAAAGAAGACGATGAAACATCAACATCACAAGTTCGGATTTTAAATAGAGGCCTGA